ACACTTCTGTGCTGTCTGACTGAGCAGTGGTTCTGAACATTCAGTCGGTGTTCCTCAAATACCACACAGGCAGACTGCTGTGGAACAGCTTTTTATTTGAGTTTAGTTGTGAAAAACAAAACCCATAGATCCTTCTTGACCTTCTCAAACAGCTTGGTTATCAAAACTACAATGACTCGTTCTACCTGAGCACAAACTTTTTCTGGTAAACTTGCGTAACGGCGTTGACTGTTTGAGCTTGAAATATTTTATATTTCTTTTTATTGGCGCACAAGGCAAATAAAATTATTTTACTGATGCTTTTAAGACTGTACACTCCCATTAAAGTTTGAATTGTTTTCATTAGGCCAGAGTTTATTTACAGCAGGAGCAGGACTTGTGTGGAGACCACCATCGTATGTCATCTTGTTTTCATATTAGATCACATAAATATGACAGACTAAATATTTGTTTTGTTCAAATAATTACTACATGCTTGAGCATGAGGAAAGAGACATTACATGTTATTTTAACCATAACTTCACCACTAGATGACATTAAACTGTGCAAAATGTAACTTTAAAACACCTACACATTAGGAGTTAACTTTTCTTTGCTACCTGTCTGCCAGTTCACTAAACTTCTCCTGGCGTTTATATCATGCAAAATGGAATTAATCGAACCCTTGCCATAAACAATTGTGCTCGTACAAGTTTTACTCACATGGAAGGAGATTAAAATGGATAAAAGGGATTCGTTTACTGCAGGGATTTTGATGATGGCTGACATGAAAATCGTAACACCCGCCGAGGTGTGTGTGTGTGCTTTTTGTGACTTATTCTGACAAAAAAAGGGACGTGTGAGTATTCCAGTTGTGTGTGTGTTTCTTGTAGTGCCAGGGCCACATTAGAGGAGCCTTTCAAGTCTTGTCGACCTCCTCCTACTCCTCAGCATAGCGCTTGTGTTGTGGTCCCCTCCAAAGCCAGAGTCCCAGAACCCCTGCGAACTCTCTGTACATGTGTGTGTGTGTGTGTGTGTGTGTATGGTGTTGAAGGGTTATTTCCAGTGTGTGGGATCCCCACAATATCCTGCCAGAGTTCTCTGTTGTGTCCTGCTCTTTGTTTTTGATGCCTCTCTTCTTATATCAGTGTCTGTGTCTTTGTGATTAATATAATGGAGATCCATAAAGAATTCGGAGAATTGTGCGCTTTGATTGTTTGTGACTCAGTTCTGGAGTCATCCACATGCTGTTTGTAATAACTCCACGGCTCAGATGCTGTGATGATGATGTACTGTCAATGACAATCTTTTGACCTGGTAAAAACACAACTGCAGCCCTTTGATAACTATGCCAATCTCTCCACCACTCGCGCTACCACATTTCAGAGCTCAAATATTCACAGTGCATCGCCTTCTCTATGAAAGGTCGGCTCATCCTTTGATCCCTGTCAGACAGAACACATGGTAGCATGTCATTGTCGCGATGGCGACGTGTGTTATCTCTTGGTTGAGGGGGAAACGGTGCGTCGTGTGTACGTATGTTTTGTATTCTGTCAGGGCAACTCTTAAAGTGTTCATTCCAAACGTCTTACAGTTAGCAGCTTACTGTGAAATAATGCACATATGTTTAAGCTAATGAAACGCTCAGCGGTGCACCAGCCTTCATTAAGAATGTTTTCTTAACAACAAAAACAGATTAGCCCATTACTCTCACCTGGAATGTTTCACACTATTAGGACCAGGAACACTGTAACAATGCAAACAGTGGTTTACGGAGACTTCTGATCAGAGAACCTGACGGTTGATTTATAATTACTCTCCCAACAGTGGCCAGATGCATTGTAATTAGCAACCTACTCTCTTTTCTTCCTGTGAAAGTTGGGAGTGGAGCATTCTAAGAACATTTAAGAACGTGTCTTACAGCCCTCTCTAAAACAATCTGATTACTAACTTTTTACATGTCCCATTTTCATTGCAGTATTGACAAAATTGGAAAAATGTTTTTGTTCATAACAAAAAATGTAAGAACGCCATCATCTTGTGGATTTGGTAACAACTCAACGTTTTTTGCACATTGACTCATTCAGTGTGAAAGATATATATATATATATATAAATTATAAATAACAGAATAATTGAGCATTAACACATACCTTTACACATTTTATGTTACAGTGCGTTTATGTGTGTGTACCTCCATCCTTTGTCATCGAGTGTACTTCTGAAGTGAACAGGCCTGGTCAGCATCTGGAAGCAGCAAGAGGAAGATTGAGTCAGTCAGATGTGGTGACCCCGGGCTACAGAGGATATCATTACTCTGGCCGAAAAAGACGGCCCCCAAGTGGAGTTTCATCAAGGTGGACCCCCATATCTGTGGTGTGTGGGAGGGTCCCAGTTAACCTGTTGTCCTGCAGTGAGGAGTGGTATTAAGCAGCAGGTGGACAGAGGAAGCTTCCTGTGACTGGAATGAGGTGGAAACAAATGTGCAGATGGTCGACCTGCAGAGCAGCAGTCGGATTTTCTCTCAAACCGAGAGAAGATTGTTTCAGATAAATGTCATGATCTTGTTTTTTGCAACTCAGAGAATGTTCTACTCCCATTTCTTACCTATGAATCAATTTTTCTCAGTATTATTCACAGTTATACTTTACCCTGAGCACATGCAGAAATTGAATTCGGAACATTTTCATTCAAAGGAAATTGCTGAGATATTTTTGGTGCGTCACTTTGACAGAAAAACTTGATGCATGGCCACTGGCAGCAACATCAGCAGTATCTTCATACGGGAATTGGACCCTTTAGTGAGGTAACCCATAGGCTATGAATCATGCTGCCTTGCTCCGTAGCTCTGTGGTCCCGGGGTTGACAGTTTGACCGCTCCTCAATGTGGTCTCTCTCTCTCTCCTCTGCTCATGCTCCTCCCATCCCCATCACCACACATTCCAACCACCGGACTGGTCACGTAAGGTCAGGAAAGTAGAATAGAGATGAATAGAATAGACCTTTTTGGAAATTTGCGTTTCTCAGTGTTTTAGCCACTTTTTACATCTTAAAGCATTTGTCGATCGACACCTAGCAATCCCTGAAGAACACCGACTGAGAGAGTCCCACGGCAAATGCTGAGAAACACCAAAACCTTACAAACACGCACAGAAAAAGACAAAACGTGCTGCTGAGAAGCGTATTCCTGTCTCTCTGTTTGCAGCTTGTCTGTTTTGGCAGCTCAGACATGGAGCTCGTCTGGCAGTCTGCCTGTCTGGTCCTCTCGGTCTCTTGGTGGGTCACTGGTGTTTGGATCACTCCTATTGGCTGTTAACCACTGACTTGGACTGAGCCCCACCATGTGTTTGATTTAGCGCAGTCATTTATTACATACACACGCAGTATGAAAATTAAAGTCATTCATCTCAAAGGTTCCCTAAAAACAAAAAAGACATACACAGATAAGTTGAAAAATAATGAGTTATAATTAGTTTTACTAATTTAAAATCAAATTTGTTGTTTTTTTTGTTAAAGACGAGAACTCAGTTCATCTGGAGCTCCGGCCGGTCTGTGATAAATAAATGGACAGTCCTGGTTCCAGAGAGGTCACAGAGAGAGTGGCTTTAACTGTGCCCCAGGCCGTACGCCGACTGAGTTAACACACCCTGACGTGTGTGCTTGTGAGTCTGTGTGTGTGAAGGAGAAAGATACTTGACACGTCCAGAGATTGTGATGGAGTCACTTCCTCTTACTGGACTGAGCGACTTTTGTCGGGCTTGACCCTGCACCAGTTAACCTCTCAGCACCCCTGCCACAGTGGGTGAAGGTCCTGAGTATGAGTGTGTGTGTGTCTAGGAGGAAGACGGAGACAGATATAGGGTGTGTATGGTCACAGGAGTGTGTGTCAGCAGAACGCAGGTGTCTGGTCACGGTGTCACGGTGTTAAGAGGTCTTCACGAAGGCCCCCGACTTTCAACATCTGTTTGGGAGGGAGCAGCGAAAAGAAGGAGGGAGAGGTTGGCGAGGGTTAGCAACACACATCCTGAGGGTTGCTCGGGGGCAGTAGCTGACAAGCAGGTGCCCATGTTGACAGTACCCTTTGTACTTGAACCCCAGCAGGCAGCGCACACACTTTCAATAAATCCTGCAGAGCTGGGTGTAATTGCGACGCCTGATTGGAGGGAATCCAAAGGGAATCCCCTTCTACACACACATCACTGGAATCTCTTTGCTCGGGGTCAAAGTTGAGAGAAATAGGAGAGCGCACACAAGTCTGACTTTTTCTTCTGACTGAGTGTGTCTTTGTGTGCGAACTATTTGCGTGCATGATGAGTGCAGTGTCTCCACACATGGGCACCATGTGAATACATCCTTCAGCTACGACACAGAAAAGGCTGAAGCCTCTCTGGCTGTGATATTGTTGTTAGAAACCATGGTACACTTTCTGAAGTGCTTTAAAAACCAAATACTGTCACCTGTCAATGCACTTTTATTCAACAGGCAAAATACGTGTGTGTTTTACTAACTAGCTTAATTAAATTATAAAACAGTAGCTTGTTCAGAAATTGTACAAGTTGACCTGTTGATACTTCAGACAGCCTACTTTAGGACCAAGTCAATAGACCAACAGATTAGCTTCAATTTTTTGTCATTTGCTGTTTTTATTTGATAATTGCCTAGTCTGGTTTTATAAGAGAGCTTGGCATTTTGCACAATAAAGTGGATTAGCAAAATAAATATTTTTGTTTGGCAAATTACATATTTAAGAAACTTAGTGTTCTGGAAATTGGGTTTCAGAGTCTAGTTATTTATTTTAGCAATGTAGACCCTGTGGTTTGCAAAATGTGTGTGTGTGTGTGTGTGTGTGCAATTGCAAATGAACTCCATTTGTCTGAATGTTTGTAAGTCAGGTGTTCTGCTGTAGGTCTGGGAGCCATTAGTTGGTAAGGAGGGCACACAACAGGAGGTCAAGGTAAATTGGGCCAGCTGTTGATTAAAATTCATGCCTTCTTTCTCTCTCTCGCTCTCTCTCCCTGTTAGTAGAGGAAGATGAAGAAGATGAGGAGATGATGGAGACAAAGCCCGGCCCTGATGTGGAGCAGCAGGATGAAGACGACAACAGAGAAAACAAAGAAGGTACAGAGGATGAAGTCAGCTCCTAACAGCACCAGTAACGTTTTCCTACATTTGGATCGTATAAAATCCTTTACTCAGTACACCATCGCTCTTCCTCAGTCTTTAGTCCTTTAACTTCTCATGTCCCAAGACTTGTTGACTTGTGTGTGACAGTCAGTGGGTGTATCAAAAGGAAGGGTGGGGATGGGCTGCACTGGGGTCGAGGCAGACCAAACTTATCAGCTCCATCAAATCAGGAGGTCAGCGCTGATTAAAAACCTGTCACTTGACCCGCTCCCTGACCACACTTCAAAGTGAAGAGGGGAAGAAAAGTGTGCGTCTGTCCCTGTGTGTGTCAGTGGGTGAAGTAAGGCACGCAAGTGTTTAGGCGAATCAGAACACGATTAATGATAGAAATACTCATGTAGCCACACAAATACACTCGCCTCTCAGAGTTGTGGTGCATACACAACTACACACAGACACACACACAGTCATACGTCTTCTCTCCTGCCATCCGGCCCTATTAGTACGTCTGGTGTTTGATCTTTGCCACTCAGTTCAGTGTGTCTTTTCTGTCAACTCCTAACAGATACAAAGGGAATGAGGGGGATCAAAGTCAAGAGGCCGGCCAAAGGTCCAAATATGTGTCCCTGCATGTTTGTGCATGGAGAAATTGCGTGTATGCTTGGGGACAGTGACTTCAAAAAGTACGCAACATGCTGTGCAGCCATTATGTTCAAAGGGAGGCGGGGCACTCTTTGTTTTTCTCTTGTTTATGAAGTTCTTACTGATGGGTTTTATTAGGGAAGGTGCATTAGGGACTGTTTGTAGTTTATTGTTTCCTAGGTGGGATCCTGGTTTTGATAAAAATAAAATGCACATACAGTGTGTCTTTAACATCAGTGGTACATCGGTGTAAAGGTACCATTTAGTGGAGTCTGTGTGAACTATTAAACAAGATGTACATGTCACGAGGCATTGTTTATTTAGATCATTGACATCTTGGCTTCAACTCCCCCTGAAACCATGAAAAGCATTAAGCAGTGGAAAAAAGATGAGTTTTAAAAAGGTTTAAAGGCTATATTAACCTTTGAAAACTACTAAAGATCTCCCTGGTAGTTCAAAATACTTGAAGGTGTTTTTGTCCAACATTAGCATTAAATGTTTTAGAATCCAGTTGTGGGTGAGGTTTATGTGGGCCAGATCACTGATCTAGGGCAAGGCCAGTGTTTTACCTGCAGAGTCTCTCATGTGTTAAGGTTCTTTCCCCGTGCTGAGGGAGCTCACGGAGGAGGAGAGGCAGCAGATACTGCACTCTTCGGACTTTCAGAGCTTCTTGGACTGCAGCATCAGAGTGATGGAGCGAGCCCTGGCAGAGGACGGCAACATCTTCTTTGACTACAGCGGCCGTGACCTGGAGGACAAAGAAGGGTGAGCGGGAGAGGAGATGAGAGGGGACAGAGGGAGAGGGGGGATGTTCTTGGATGTGACTGCACATGTGAGTGTTTACTTGCATGCTTCTGAGTGAGAAATGCGCTGGGACTGACTCATGCCCACTGTGTGACTCCAGGGGCCTGGAAGCCTCTTTGTTCTGCAGAATAAATGTCTTCATGCTGATGTCACTCCCCAGGGGTTTAAAACTCATTTGAACTGACAACTACCACAAGCTAAACTGCATTGTTTTACCATCTGAAGCTCCAAACGGAGATTATCCTGGCGGTGATCGGTGTCATAAGTGCAAAGCCTTTTCTCAGCACACAGAAGAATGCTGTCGTTAATGACTCATTGTTGACGGCTGCAGCCAAAGAAACACATCAAGTCTGTGGTCAACGAGATTATGTCTAAAGTAGTTCATGACCCCGAGCGCCAACACGGCTTCCTTCTTTGAATCAACATGTATCCTCTCTGGGTGATTCCTGTTCTTTCATAAGCAGAGTTTTAAATAACATTTAGATTGTACATAATTTGTTGCGGTCAAATCATTATCACATAGAACACAGCCCTAGTCACTTGGTGGTACTTCTACTACAGCATGCTAGTACGTATTAGTGTAGTCAGTGAGTAACCAAGTCATACCACAGTCTCACTGATGCACATGAATGTCAATGGTTACATGTCTTCTTCTGTTTGTCATTGGGTCAAAAAACAAACAAAAAAACTAAATGCACTAAAAAAGATCAAATCCTTTTTAGTGCAATACGCCTATCCCTTATTAAGAGGAATTTTAAAAAGAAGGATGTTTTAAATATCTCACATGCTACTTGGTTCTGAAAAAAAAATCTAACCTCTGACCTTTTTTGTCAACTGTCTGCCTTTAGAGACTCAGGCAGTGGCTCCAGTCTCTCTTTCAGCAGACTCTTCTATGACGAACACTGGTCCAAGCACCGGGTCATCACCTGTCTTGACTGGTCACCTCAGGTAAGGCCTGCAGGCGTCTTTGTCTGTCGGCTGGTTTTAGCTTTTTTGCTCATTTGAAAGCATCAGTGAAATGTAGCTCTCTCTCTCTCTCTCTCTCTCTCTCTCTAAATCTTTCTACCTCAGTATCCAGAGTTGTTGGTTGCTTCCTATAACAACAATGAAGATGCTCCTCATGAACCAGACGGCGTTGCCTTAGTGTGGAACATCAAATTTAAGAAAGCCACGCCAGAGTACATCTTTCACTGTCAGGTACTTTTTTAACATCACATACACAGGCACAGGCCCGTGGAAATGTTGCACATTTCAACATAAAACACACTGTCATTTAATTTTGCCCACATGCAGCGGTCACATGCAGCGTTCCGTACGTGTACACCGTCAGTGAAGTGACAGGTTACTGTAAGTAACTGAGTTAGGAATTAAAGGTGTGTAAAAGTTTTCATTCACAGCATTATGTCAAAAAGACCAGTAAAAAAGAATAGTGGCTGCGTGTTAGGTGTTTTTTTTGTTTCTTTTTCTTCTCGTCTTTCTCTCTCTGGCTCATACAGCCTTTATGTAACTCCTAAAAGGTGAAAAAGGATAGTTTTTTTAGGAATCAGAGCTTTTCAGCTCCTGAAAACAAAAAAAGGTCAGCTCTGAATGTATTCACTTGACTCTCATTGATTGGATTATATCTGATCCCTGCCAGTAAAAGCCAGTGGAAATGGAAGAAACCGATGTTCTGGTGGGAAAGAAACTCATTGATGAGTGTGACACTAATTGTATCTGACACTGAGAAAACTGTAGAACGAAGAGGTGAGGGAGGGGACGGGGGATGGAAGGACTGGGTGTGAGGGCTTCACGGCTCTCGGGAGACAGGCGAGGCCGCGTAGAGACGTCGTGGCAGTAAAACGATGTGGCCTACCACTTCCTAATCCCGAGCTGCCACATGTGTGTGTTAGCCCACCCACACTGGTGCTGCATCTGATGTCAGCAGAGCCATTTGCCAGTAACTGACAAGTGTACTCCATAGAAACCACGATAAATATGGAAATACACCTGTAGTGGTATTCATGTCATAAGCAATCACATCACGGTGAAAAGCCCCCACATGCGCTCACATTCAAGCCTCGTTCACACACAGGAATTACATTCACAATATATTTCTGAAATGTGCAGCAAACCCCATAATTCACATGCCACATGCAAATGTATCAATGTGAAGTCTACCACATAGGTCCTGTGTTGTAATAGGTTCAAAACGTTCTCATTTCCTACACGTTAATTTATGCTGCACTCGGTATTCCTCTGGTCTTTGGTGTCGATCACAGCTCTGTGCTGAAAAGTTGTGGAATTCATACTTCTTTCTTTGGTTTCTGACGAGTCTGTGAAGTACTATTAGACTTTATTAATTTTGTACTTCATCAGCAGGTGAAATTTTGCAATTGTGCCATTTATGTCCGTCTTCAGTACAAAACCACATTTAAAAACAATCACCTCGTTCTTCCCCAAAATGAATTGTCTTGCACAGAAGTGTAGTATAAGGCAAATAGAGTGAGAGAGAGAGAGAGAGGGAGAGAGAGAGAGAGAGGTTTTGTGGTTGTAGTCTGGTTCTGCAGGGGCTTGATTGTATAAGGCTAAGGCTTTGAGAAGGATTCATGTTACTGATGTGGTTTCTGGTGAGGTCGACCTTCTACATTTCTCGTCTGGCTGTGCCCTGTGCAGCAGAAAAATGAAAAATGTTCTTCTTACTAAGAATTTAACTTTATAACCAGTGTATCAATATTTCTGACAATATAGGAGACTATTAGTTTCTCTAGGTCGGTCGTACTTTTTACTTGGCAGACAGTTTTGGTCCTGATATACTGATGTGGTGGGAGATAAATCACTTGGAGCTGGATTGGGTTTAGCTTTAGGAGGAGCTTTGGTGTCGCTCAGAGTGAAGTCCTGCATTAATGCACAAAACATTTCTTCACACTTTTCAGTGTTGTTGTAAGGGTGAAATGTGATGCAAGAGTTAGGCAGACTTTGTTTGACAGACCACGGTTCAAACGAGATAAACTGTCAGAGAAATAATGTTTTTCCTCCCTGTTCCACTTTAATTATTCTTTTCCGTTTGCCTTTTTTCCCCTCTTACAATTTTGTCTGAAAACCATTTAGTTTTCCAATTTTTGAATTATTTTACTGCATCGTTTTAACTGCACAGTAGATCTGGTTACCTTCACACTAACCTGACATTAGGCACCATTCAATTTTAACAGTGTTTGTGGTGATGGTTTAATATTTGTTTTGAAATTGAATATCAGTTTGAAATGAAATCTACAACTGGAATGTGATTGCTCTCTCGTGTGAGACAGTGAATGAGAAATTAAACAGTGCCTGGCGTGTTAGGAAAACAGTCCTGCTGATGATCAGAGGCGGTTCTTGACCCCACTTCAGGAGCCATTGATCTGTGTTTCAGTCAAGGAAGTGTGTGATCCATCACTGAGTGGCTTGGGTGTGTTCACCAGCGAAGGGGCTACTGCTGCTCCCGCTGTGCCTCCCCTCATCACGGCCGTCCGAGCACTTGAACCCATCATCACCTCGTCCCAGTAGGGTCCAATCTTGTAACTTCACACCAGTCTCTCAAGTGGGCAACGTCAGACCACATTAAAGGGCCCGTTCGACTCCAAACCTCTGCCGAAGCCCCCAACCCCTTCCTCCAAACCACACGGCTCCCTGCAACAACTCCTGCCGCTACTGTCATTGGGTTCAGTCATATTTTTTCAATATCTTGTTGCCAAACTTCCATACGCAGGACACTGGCATGAGCAAAAGTAACAGAGGTGATAAATAGAGAAAACATTGCTTTAGTTTGTGGATTTATGCCAAAGGATGAAGCAGCTGGGTTTAAGACTGTGACTGTGTTTAATTTAGGGCACCAAGGCACACATTTAGAACTGTTTAAGCTCAGCATTTGGAGCACGAGTGCATTAATGGCAACCTTTTTCTTGGTGGACAAAGTTTGCAATGGCAATTCAAGTAACTGTCGAAAAGATAAAATTCCGTATGAGAGCGGAAAAGGAAAGAGAGTTAAATTGAAGATCCAACGTCCAACCTTAAAGCCACAAGGATAGAATCAGAGCCAATGAACAAAAACAAAAAAGACAGTAAAGAAGAAAAGAGACAGAAACGGAGAGAAAGGCCTGTTTGTGCTCCTGAAGCCTCTTTCCCAGGCTTGTAACTCCGTAGAACTCTCATTCTTTGCCTGGTGAAATGGAGACTAGCCTTGGTATTTCTCTCTCCTTGCCAGAAACCACGGAGTGACAAAATCTGTGGGGTGTCATAAATGAGCAAAGCCAGGGGGAGAGAGGGAGGAGAAAGGTGGTTGCAGGAATGAGGGGGGGTGGGTGGTGAGGGTAGAAGAATTGGGATGCAAGGGAAGACAGTCTGATCCATCTGGTGTTGATAAGGCCGAGTGGAAAACACATGTGTGCGGTGAGCGAGGTGGAGGGGGAGACGGAATGGAGCAGGGATCTACTGGGGACGTTACAGTGTCTGTATATCACTTTCCCGCCTCCTCCTTTCTCCACAGCAAAACACACTTTGTTGGTTTCTACCTTTCCAAGCCTCAGCAACAGCTTATTGTCCAAAGACAAAATATAAATAGAGGAGGAGAGAGTGCTGAGTGATTTTTATAACTTTACTATCTCTCTCTCCATCTTTTTCTTTCTCCGTCATTCTCTGAAATTCCTCTAATCCCAGGCTGGGTGCCATCTTTCATCACTGCCTACCATGTGTGTATTATCCTCTACAGAATACATCCCATTAATATAACGAGAGTTGCCAGAAGCACTTAGGCTGTTGAATCTGTGCTGTATGGACTAGATGGTTCTTGCTGTGGATGAGTTTATATCAACAAAGTTGGCCCAAAGGAGGGGAGAAAAACTGACTGTGAGAGCGTCTGCATGTTTAACCTGCACTGCTTATCTCAGGCCTGATGAACTAAAGTGACTGTCGCCGCTGCTCTTTCTTCCCGGAGCCGTCACTCCCCCTCTTCCCACATCCTCTTCTTCAGGCCTGGCGGGAGATGACTTGGCAGGTGTCTTCACCCACACTGCGTGTGAGATGAGAACCATACACAGAGCCACTCTGCACTTGGAAATGAAAAGTCAAGCTCAGTTTTTAAATCAGCTCTGATATGGGTTTGCAGTCATAGCAGGAGTTTTTGTTTTTGCTGCCAGAAGAGCTGTTGAGGTGTTATTTAGACAGATGTGCAGTCTGTATGACTGGTCGGTCCAGGCTTTTGAATGTGAAATGAAGGCAGGCTGCGGGGGCACCTGTGTGTGTGTGTGTGTGTGTGTGTGTGTCTGCATCTGTTTTAACAAAAAAGTCAAAAAGATTCTTTTAAAACTAGAGTTACTGGCAGTTATATTCTCTTCTCATTCACAGGTTTTTTAAAGCCAAAACGAAATCTTCAAACTTCAAATTAAATAAAATTTAACTCAGTGCATAATTAACACAACCAGCTGAACAGAAAGTTAGCAAAGCTTTTACACCAATCGCATTTCAAAACACTGCCTTCTACTTGCCAGTAAACATAGTGTCACTGTTTTTATAAATAAATGTACACAGAAGGTTGCTTAAATAAAGCAACAACAAAAAAGGAGACTCCACACAGGAAGTGGATTTCTTATTTGTAGGCCGTCCTGCTCGCTAAAATAAAACCACCAGCATCAACACTGCCACCTCTGGATGAACACTAGAATCAAAACATTATGGTAAATAAAAAAAAAAACTTCCATTGCTTTTTTTTCTACATTAGAAGTCCGCTCTAGAGGATGAAGAACATTATACATGACATGACATGAAGACGGTTCGATCAGTGTAAAAAACAAAAGACTTTTTGCCTCTTCTTGGTGGAAAAGGGTTTCAAAGTCAGAGAAAAGACATCAACATTACCCAGCTTCCTAAACCTCAACTCTAAATTCAGACATTCATTTCCTACATGACATCTGAATTGAGAATCCATCAACAAATCCCTCTTGAGCTTTAATCATAAACCCTCTTATGGCGCAAAACAAATGGATCTTATTTAAACGTCTAATGACATGCAGCGGAGTTCAAAGGGCCCCCGACTCCAAAACATGTGTGCTGATTTGACATCTGATTAGAATTCATTTAGGGAGAATGGCTTTTATTTTAGTTCCAAGTTGCGGCTGTGGTGCCCCGAACTGCACTACGGGGACGGAGTTTGGCTAATTTTCAGTAGCTCTTTCAATAAGTCGACTGTACAAGAGGGGATGATGGCATAACCTGTGGTTTCAACAAAAAAAAGTCGATCTAGAGTGAGAATATTAGGGCGCAGGAGTTTGACTGACATATGAAGCAAATAAAGCACGTCTCTCTAACTTGCTGACATATGGAGCAAATAAAGCACGTCTCTCTAACTTGCCTAATCTATGTATATATAATTATAGGTTAAAATATTAAGAATTTTCCATTTTATTAAGAGATACAAGATGACAAGTATTTCCATTTGTAGTTGTAATGAATTTCTCCTTTAGGCTAAAACCTCTTAAGCCCCAATGTGCATACATGTGTATCTGGTGAACTTGGATGCCATTAACCCACTGACGGAGGCTGGGGAGACAGACCTCAGACAGCGGGCTGTCAGATGACCACAGAGGTCAAAGATCAGCCAGAAACTCACATCATTTAAAAGTCATCAAGTTCATGGCAGAATTATTCATGTGAAAGTCTGTCAGTAAAGTCTATTTCTATCAATGTAAGCAGTTCAGCTCAGGTGTGTTCAACTGCTCCTTCAGTTTTATGTGTCTTTACAGTCATCAGATATTGAGGGGAAAAACAATCAGAAGATGCAGTCACTTGTCACATGTGTGTGTGTAAAAGGTGGTGATAATAAGATGATAAAAGTAACAATTTCCACCAAGCCTCCTTCATATATTAACATTGTCCCGTTAATACATTGATTTATTTGTTAGGATGCTGAAAATAAATAACAAGCTTGTCCCCAAAACCAGCCCCTAAGATGTTGTCAACACAACAGAACCCATGACGTGCCATTTCGAGTAAACTGTAAATCTGTCAGTGACAGATTTTGCAACAAAATATACAATCCGCATTACGCAACACTTTTGTGAAACAAGCCCTTCGTGTTGCCATACTTTTGATTTGTGTCTCTGAGCTTCTTGTGGAGTGCTGTCTTGGCTCTGTCACGGCTCTATATTAACTCAACACAGTCCTGCTGTTCTGCTGGATGGATGCATGGATGGGTACATTTGTCAATGCTTAACACACCACTTGCCCTCCTGTAGCACGGCGTAGCTGGAACTTTTTTTCCCCCCATAACTCCTCAGCACCGACGCTCCAGTGGTTGTGTGTCAGGAGAGGCTCACTGTAGCACACACAGAAGCCCATATGGGACAAGCAGTGAAGAGGAACCAAAACTCAATAAACACGGCACTGGGGCGGGAGTTCAAGGGTGTGCTTGTCATGATGGAGGCTTCAGTGAGCGCTCCAGTGGCTGCTTGGGTTTTGATGCTGTAATGTGAGACGGCAGGGAGAAAGAAGACTACAATTCCCCTTTTTGTCTGGTCCTCGCCCCAGCATCGGCCCTCCTCCCACTTTTGAGCGGACCCACTCTGCAGCCAAACTCATCATCTCCCTCACCGTCTTTCTCCCCAGCGCCTGCCACCCATCACGATGCCTTGATCACTCATTCTCGCTCACGCTTGGTCTAGCGTTACTGCTCTCGGTTGATGTGCTCCTTTGCTCCTACTCGTTTCTCACTGTCTGCAGTTTTATCTCCACGTTCAATCAAAACAGACAATCTTATTCTAACTCATCAACTTCCTCTCCTCCAGCCAGTTTGTGATTTTAGATTTTAAATGTTTAATGTTGACGTTGAAACCTGTCCCCTGTCTCTTCCTCTCTGTCCTCAGTCTCCTGTAGTATCTGTGGGCTTTGCCAAGTTTCATCCAAACCTGGTGGTGGGGGGCACGTACTCAGGACAGATTGTACTGTGGGACAACCGCAGTCACCGTCGGACACCTGTCCAGAGGACCCCTCTGTCTGCTGCTGCGCACACTGTAAGTAAGACACTGAAGTCTTAAACCAACAGGAAAATGCTTGTACACTTGATATGATAAACCGATGGAGAAGGAGCATCATCCAAAGAACTTATTAAATAACTCTGAGTCTGACCTCTGACCTGTAACTGATCCCGTGTGCTCAAAAATATTGGGGAATACGTTGCGGTCACAGCTGCAGAGGACACGCAGCACAACGTCCCCGCTGCAGACTTCAATAATGAAGCCGTCACGCTTGTCCTCTCCAGTCAGCGGGTCTGTCCAGGGAGCATGGTGCTGATTGCTGAATGGATTCTTTGTCTGGCCCAAGTACACACATCAATTACTAGCCACTAATGACATAATGGTTTCTCACACTCCCGTGGATCTAGAAAACAGCGCATGTACCAAACGTTCAGTCATTTTGAAGGATGAGCGCACACTGGCATTCAAGGTGGCCGTCTGCAGGCCGAGATTATTGTAGCCGCCCGATGATGTCATTACACTGAATTAATACTTAACTGCTACACTGTGGTATTTAATTTGAAGGTGAATAGATAATAAACTGGGACTGGATCTATTTCAGTTTAGGAAGTAAAAAGTAACTCAGTAAACTTATCTCCCATTAAATTCCGTTCATGCATTCATCCACCTCAGCTTTTCATCCATGTCTACAAGAATCTGTACTGTATGTGTTCAGACATGTACTCCCTGAACTTTGTGTGTATTTGTGTTTCTGTAGCACCCTGTCTACTGCGTGAACGTGGTCGGTACCCAGAATGCCAATAACCTGATCACTGTGTCTACTGACGGCAGGATGTGCTCCTGGAGTCTGGACATGCTCTCACAGCCACAGGTTCACAGCAAACACACCAGACAGTCCACAGAGGGCGAAAATGTCTTCACTCAAATAGCTACTTTTGTATGTGTGTGTGTGTGTGTGTCACATGTGCACGTAGGAAACTATGGAACTGCTGTATAATAAATCCAAACCAGTAGCAGTGACAGGAATGGCGTTCCCCATGGGAGACGTTAACAACTACGTGGTGGGGAGTGAGGAGGGCACAGTGTACACGGCATCCAGACACGGCAGGTTGGTAGACACACGTTTTCTTTTTTTTCTCTCCTATCTGTGGATTTAAAAATATATATATATGTGTGTGTGTGTTACTATGTTAAAATTCAATTGAAAACATTAAATTAAAAAACTAACAATTGTTAAAACATTAAATTAAAAAACTAACAATTAAAGAAATATATAATAATTTTTCATTTCATTTCATTTAACCTAGCCCGAGAGATGATTTGCAATAAAGCTTTTTCAGTCTAGCCCGAGAGATGATTTGCAATAAAGGTTCTACTTCCTAAACTACATATAATTCACACTTAGATTAGAAAAATACAGAAATATAAATTTCACTTCATTGCATAACATATAACATTTAGAAATGGACAATGGTTGTTTCCAGAAAGCACCGTATGGAAATACTTACACGTATCAAAGCTTTAGTCAAACATACATCTAAGAAAAGATGATAAATTGAGCGGTTATATGTGGTTATATTCACACTTTTAATTTTGAATTAAATTTGACATTAGTCTTCGTTTGTGACCTATGACCTACTATGACCTTATTCCTAAAACATGAGCACATATCCATGTGAATAGGCTCTAAATTACTGCTGTTGCTCACTTTGCCTGATTTTAACACCACGTGTATTGACTGTGGAGGTGAGTGTCACTGTTAAGAGTTGTCAACACGTGTCACTTCAGTAAAGCAGGTATCTGTGAGATGTTCGAGGGCCACCAGGGGCCAGTGACGGGCATCAGCTGCCACAACGCCGTGGGCACCGTCGACTTTTCCCACCTTTTCATCACATCCTCGTTCGACTGGACTGTGAAACTCTGGAGCACAAAGGTGTGTAGCAGAGCAAGTGGTCATACAGCGGGGATATGTGGGGGGTTGATTGTGTTCTTCCAGGGGGCTGGAGAGAACACGTCCATGTGTTTGTGTGTTGGAGTGGAATGAGCGCAGTCTCTCCAATCAGCCTCTTACTACTTGTGTAATGGTGTCGGTGAGTTTTGTTACTGTTTATCTGCAGCGAGTTGATTCAGGAGCAAGTGACACAGTTCCTGTTTGTGGCTTGTTCTCATCCTGACAGACTGATGTTGATTATGGTGACTTTCCACATTTATTGTTAACAGTTGTTTACAGTGTTTACATAAGTATCGCATACCATAGTGTGTGATTATATTTTATATTCAACATGTAGAAAGTAAAATAGAGAAATTAGTAGTAAGGACGCTGAAGTCCAACCTTGAAGTTGTCTGCATCAAATAACTATAATAATAATATTACAGGCCAAAGGAAATAAAATGAAATCAGCTAATATTGGTTAGACCTATATATGATATGTCGCAGTGTAATGGAGTAACTGGAATTGTGACCCTGAGTGTTACAACACAGCGCTGCTGTAACGATTAAATTATAGCGCGGGTTGTTTTCATTCGTCGGCTGTGGGGACCATTAAAACAAACACAGGGCCAGTACGTCTCTGATCTACTGGCCAACTGGGCCAATGAGAGGCGGAAAAAAGTTTCACTGGACACTGTACAGTTTTCAAACTTGGCAGTGACAGGCTGTAAAGATGAATTTTTGCATGCAGCCAGTCCATAAGTCATGTGTGAAGGGTCTCATGACACATTTCTGTGGATTTTCATTAGAAGACTGTGTTGTTATTCAGGATTTGGGAATTCCCTTTCCTTTGAGGGGCACCACAGGAATGTGTCTGTCTCTTATCCCACATAACCCATGTTTGTATGTGGCCAGGCGAAATACCTGAGTGCACATACAGTACGTGTGTGTGTGCGTGTAAATACAGACGCACCGCATGCCTCTCAAGCACACCTTGAGCAAGCTGTCGTTGCTTACCTAAGATCCCCCCGAGGTTTGCCTTCAACACATCGATCACAGAGATCACCCCGACTGATGTAACGCACGCAGACACACATTCTGCCAGTGAATTCTCTCAGCATTCACCCTCACACTTGCCCCCGCAGTTCAAAAGGACGCTCCGACAGAGGTCTGCTAATGTTTTTACACTCAGCGGCGCAAATATTGTGGTTAGTAAAAAGGTTTAGAGTAACCCACACTGTGAGGACGTCGTGACAGCTGGGAGTGGGTTTATAATTGTGCAAAACTTGAACCGTCGTGCTCTCTTGACCCCATAACCAGCATCTACTTAGTGACTGGGTTAGAGTTGGGGAGAAGCATTTGAGATCTGTTTCTAACCTCTCAGTCCTAGCTGTATGTGGTTAATAAATAGTGTGTAAAGCCTTTCAGCTCACTTGGTGTTTGTGTGTCTGCTGCAGACAAGTGATGGTTTGGATCCGTCTCCAATGACGGATTTTCTGTTAGACTCACAATTTCAGCATTATTTTTAATTTGGAGGCAGTGAACACAAATATGTCAGAGATTTTAGCACAGAAGTCTGATTTACTGATTTATTTATTTATGTCTTGATTTAATGGTTTTTACAGGCTTGACTGAAAAAAAAAAGTCGACAATCAGTCTCAGAATTATTTGACAGCTGCGTCAGTCAGCCTGTAGATGTATTTACTGCCCTGCAGTCACTGAGGCCGGTCTGATGTGATTATTCATTTCAACAGCCTTAAGAAACAGTAACTGTTACTTAGTACTTGTGATGATATTTTGATGATATTGTGCTTCAAAAGGTGAAAACATGTCAAAAAATGTGCTCCCAAAAGTGAGCTTTATGGCAGCTGGGCTGAAAACTAAAAGGATGAAAAGTTGGACCAGTGTGTTTCCTTTCTTTTGTCTGTCTGTTTCATTTTGCCAAAAGTTGAACTTGTTGACACACCTGTGCCAAATAATCATACCTAACCATACTGTGATAGTGATTAGTAATATCACAGTATGTCTCAGAGTATCAAACATCATACTCCAGTTCAAACATGCTAGAAACTCGCTGGCACCTCAGCACAGGAAAGATAATGACAAGCGGTTGCTCCACACGCGGCGCCACGAGGATTAGGTTTAATTTTAAGATTAGATGTAAGACGTGTTGCTGCAAATTATTGACAGAGATCAACACTGAGATTTTTCAGATTATGGTCAGACTACAGTAAAGTAGTGGTTTGCATTTTGTAAACCTAGATATCTTTTTCTACTTTCCCATTTCACTTAGATCTTGTTGACATGAAATGCCGGGGCGTTGGGAGATGAGTTAAAGGGATAAGATAATTCAAGTTGAAGTAGGGACCGAGACAACCAGGGAAGGTGGGAATTATTTCCCCTGCTCTCACCTCATCGACTGGAAAACTGGGTCAACTGACATTTAAAATTGGAATTCCTTCTGTGTACTACTGCGTGAGTTTGTGTATCTGCAGGATACAAGACAGTAAATGGCACTTGACTACAGTATATATCAACGGGTCTTTAAAAACAGCTGCAGTGAAGGACAATAATGTTGATGGAGAGAAAAGCCATCAGATGGGAGGACAGGGAGAGAAAAGAAAGGCAGAGGCTGCATTCCTTTATTTGCTCTTCCAGCCAAACTGTCTCCTGTTCTGTGCCCCTCCCTCTCTACCTGTCAGGAATGCTATTAGTAAGGCTCTGGAATTCTAACAGCCGCTCAAAGAGATGCACAGAGGCACACACTAATACACACACACACACATACACACAAAATGATTTTTAGATTCAACTTTGTCATACTTTTATGGGGTGTATAGGACGGAACGTAAAATATTTTGATTAGTTAATTTTGATTAATAGTGATTCATTATGATTGAGGTTAATAATAATTATTGTGATTAATGCACAGATAGCAAATATATATATATATATATATACATACATATATTAGCAAATATATATATATTTATGAGACTAATGGTGGTAAATACCAACAGGATAGACCATGGTAACATTGTGGGTTCTTTAGTAATAAACTCAAGATTCCATTTAATTTCACATCACGTAATAATCACTATTTCGTTTAAACATTTGTTTTATGACAAAAAGTTGTGACCCATCTTTGTCCGACATCATCTCAGACCATCAGAACCACCACAAAAGAAACCAAAAAGTTAAAACTACACCACCCTCTCACTCGTTACTTTTGATCGTTTCCATGGTTCAGATTAGAGGTAAATTCTTTTGCAGCATCTATTGCTCCGTTCATCCTCCTTCCCTCCTTCTCCTGCCATTCCCCATCTCTTCCCATCTCTCTTCTTGGACAGCTGTTGTGTTGAGGTTACAGTACACCTTGTCGAGGGGCCCTCCCTTTCATCTCTCCCAGCGGTTTTATGGCGCTGTTTGAATGTGCTAGGCTTTTTAATTAGTCTGCACCCAGACAGGCCCCAAGGCTGAGGCAGCGCCACTCTGTCTGAAGCTCGCTCACTCACTCACTCACTCACTCACTCTTTTCCTTCACTCTCATACTCTGTCTTTCTAGAGTGTCACCTACTGTAATCCCGATTGTTCAAACTGTTGTTTGCTGCACGTTATCTCCATCAAATGCATTAAGGAGATTTTGTCTCTGTCCTTTTTTTCACAGCACAACAAGCCTTTATATTCATTTGAGGACAACGCCGACTATGTGTATGACGTCATGTGGTCACCTGTGCACCCCGCAACCTTTGCTGCTGTGGACGGCATGGGCCGCTTAGACCTGTGGAACCTCAACAATGACACGGAGGTGTGTGTATGTGTGTATGTGTGTATGTGTGTGCACCAGTGGGGGAATACAGGTCATCATGGGCGTGTTTGCCATGTCATGTCTTTGTGTTGATGTGTCTTTGGTGTCCTCAGGGGCCTGTCACTGGACCTCATCTTGAACCACACAACTACAAGCACAAAACGTTTCTCCTCCCATTAGCCCCACCCACATACCACTGCACATCCACATCTCCTCCATACACACAGTGAAGACACCAGATTCCCTCGTGGGTGTTTCCCACAGACCTCGCCTTAAATCAGGCCGTGTCACATCGCCTCATGCTGTCTCTGAGCCAGCCTGTGCACATTCCTTCAACCTCTGTTCAACATGCATGTAACCCCAGGACCCCGACCTCCCCAGGACTGATCACTGCACTGCTGTGATGTCTTCTTTCTGCAGCACAAACCCTAACTTTCCCATGGCACCCTCAACAGACAGAGGAAGAGTTCATTATCAACGGCCCGACTCGTCTCACAATGTGTTCTATGAGAAACATTTGCTCAGACACACTAACGCGCACAGACACACACACACACACAGACACAAAAGCGGATGTACCAAACACGTGCACACACATCCACTCACACAGGCAAACTAATAGCAACAGACTTCCATTGTTGCCATCATATTAAAAACACACACTCATAATGACATTAGCGGAGCATTGCGGTGCGCCTGGTTCTCATTTCCACCACACACAAACACTCACACACACACACACACACAAAGCCAACACAGATACAGTACAGATCCATTTGAGTGGAGCAGTGGAAGCTAGCAGACTAATGGCAGTCAGTCTGTGGTTAGCGCAGCTTTAAATACGCAGCAGCTCGGCGTGTGAGGCGAACTGATGCCAGGGCCTCTGTCTCCACTGGTGACATGTGTCAGACTCGCCTGCCACATGTCAGGAACAGTTTATGGAAACACTGCAGATGGTTTTAGGTTTTCAAAGGTGCAACGCGAGCACTGCTGTTTACTGAAAAGAGCATCAGCGCAGCCACAACAGCAAACATGAAGGCAGTTATTATGCCTTATACAGTAAATATTATACTTGTGTGTAAATTTGACAGTCATATTTGTCAAGCTCGTGTGTTCGGGTAAAGTCGGCCTTTTTATGTTCTAAATTTGTTTCGCAAATCCTCCAATAAACATCGAAGAGCAGGAGCTAAAACAGCAATAGGTCCATAAATAGTACAACACTGTCAGTTTAAATGTGATTTTAGTGCTTTTTGTTTAAAAACGAAAGCTTTTGTTATTGTTTTTAGATGGAATTGGAATAAAACTGCCCAAAAAATCCACTGATCCACTTTTGGCAAGACAAAGAAAGAAAAAACACAGAGGAAGACCTGCTATAGACAGACACCAGAGTGTTCTAAATGTCTTGGCCTGCAGGTGGCAGTCTGGGGGTGTTGTTACTCTTCTAAGTGTATTGAAAGGATTTCTGGAAGATTGGAGTGAATACTATCTATCTGGACTTTTACAGATACAGTAGTTACACAGATCAATGCATCAATGGAGAGAGATTAAAGACTTAACTAAGTTAGCATAGAAATAAAAATGATGTTTTTAACATCAGAGTCCATTTTGATTAAATTGAAGCCCATTCTGACATCTAAAGAAACTTATATTTTATTAAATTAGCTTGGTTATATTACTGTAGTATCTATAACTGTAGTATTGCTCATAGATATTCAAAACGTTCTAAACTTTTTCCTAATGCAAAAATCAAAACAATTAGCCTGCAGTATCACAGTAATGACATGATCCAAAAGGGGAAAACACGTATAGGTGCAAAACTCTTCTGCATCGTTTTGATCACAGTATTTGGTTTAATACTCCTTCAGGTACCAACTGCCAGTGTAACCATTGAAGGGGCGTCAGCCCTAAACAGAGTCCGCTGGTCTTCAGGGGGGAAGGAAGTAGCGGTGGGTGACTCCGAGGGAAGGGTGTGGATCTACGACACCGGCGAGGTAAGGGCGTCGGACCATCGACCGCATGTAAGACAAGTTCAAGATTTGTCACTGTTGCTATGTATTTAGTTGAAGAGTACTACTGAGTACAAAGATGATACTATTTCATGGGGTATTTGTATAAACTTTTATATATTTTTTTGTATACTTGTATACTAAGAATACAGACCTGTATTCACAAACTGTGGCAATATGTCATTGTCAGTACTATTATTAGAGTCAGTTAAAAAACAATCAACTGAAACATATTAAATTCCATTTATATTTACATAAAATACATCTGAGCTAAGAGAAAACTGGACATTGTTGCTAACGTTGTTAGAGTATTTTTTGGCGAGTGTTTATGGCTGAAGCTCTAATAGAATTGGTTAAATGTTGGTAGGAATCCAGTTGACTCCTCAGTGTATTGACCACAGATGTTCATCATCCTGACTGTACTTTAATCATTTTCCCCATTACAGCCCTGGTGAAATAACATGCTGTGTGTGACAATGACTGACTGAGGGTTAGACAAACACAGGCTGACATTTGCTGTGTTTTCAGAGTACACAATGTTCCTGAGTGTTTTTGTGTATATTTGGTCCACTGAGTTTGTTTAAAGACATGCACTAAAAGAGTGGAAATAAGTGCATTTTTTTTTCACTGTAAAACCTCCACATATACCACAACCAACCATTTTAGGTCTTGTAGGCCTGTATGTTTACTCAACTGTCAGCATCACCGTAGATGTGTTTGATCCCCCACCCCCTCCCCCCTCCTCCTCTCTCCTGTGTCTCTGTAAAATGGCCTCCACATGACTTGGCCATCACCACAAAGCGGCCAACCACCCTGCCTGGGTTCTCTCGTGTTTGAAGAACTCTGGGTAGGATCCTTGCAGTATGTGAGGCTGCATTAGCTTAGCCACTTGGCTAATTTTAGAATGTTTTTTGTGTGCACGCGCGGTTGGAGAGTGGCTCAGCTGAGCCGGTGGCCTTCACTCTGGGCTGTTGGTAACTAAGAGTCAGAAGTCGGCGTGGTAGAAGAGCTTTTACGACTCCAAACAGGGAGTGTGTTTGTGGTGGTGATGGAGGCATTTACTTCACTCCCCCACTACTGAGCTAAAACTAGGACCAAAGTGTGGACCAAAAAAAAAAAGTGATGCCAAGGGGGAGTGTGGTCTCTGGACCATGACTAACACACAGTTCCAGGAAAGTATTGTGTTGCTCTGGACAAATTAGTTTTAGCTCATCCTGCCCGTGTTGATCACAGTTTGTTCATGCTGAAACATGTAGCTGTCGATTGATTGATGTTATATAGGCTGTGGGTTAACCTTAATGAATTAATAATTAACATGATTACCAAGTTAAGCCAACAAACACCACTGCAGTTTTAAAGGCAGTGGCTCAGGCAACCTGTACTATAGATGCTCTATAGATGCCCCCTGCTGTGGTCATCCCTGCACTGTGGGAGGTTACAGGGGTTCAAAATGGCTGTCTCCTCCCCTCCCTGTCTCCCGCCCTCCTCTTTGGTTCCCGTTTTAATTACAGCCTGGCCATGCAGCGCGGTTGCAGACAGCTTGGGTGGCGGCCGTGGCTTCTGTCCCACTCGCTACGACTCCCACAGAGCCCGGCCTCGAGCCGGAGCCGGAGCCGTGAAGAGCAACATCCACTGTGTCAACTGCTTCATTTGTCCTGTGCTCTCGTTACTGCGTGCAGATGATAGCATTTGGCAGTAAGGCCAGTGATGAAATCAAATTGGAGAAAATACGTAGTTAGGGCGTGATTAGAAGTCCAATAAACCAGACGAGGCGACGGGTTTGAAACCATAGTTTGTCAGTGGAAAGAAAATGATACCGTGTCAGGTGAAGCAGTAGTTGGGCCTGGTTCTATTCCGTTCTTGCTCTAAAAACCCTGGAGGTTTGTTTGTTTTGATCATCAGCTACTTCATGTATAAATAAACCCACTGTTACCATCTATCAGTGGACCAATGCTGCTGTGCCATTCAGAGGGTGTTCTCTCTGACCTGACAGACAGACAATTAATCATGATGCTTCAAATACGGTATGAACCCAGTGGTCTCTGTACTTCCCTGTACTGTAGTCTAAGTGTTGACTCTAGTACGGCAGTCATTTCTGACATGTTCACCCTGTACTAATGTACTAACCTGTGTTTCTGTGCGTCTCCCACCAGCTGTCTGTGGCACATTCAGACGACTGGGCGCGCTTCGCTCGCACCCTGATGGAGATCCGTGCAAACCGGGCTGATGGCGAAGAGGAGGGTCCGATGGAGCTGGCTTCATGACCTAAACGGACAAAAGTGGGAGAAATAAGCAAGCTTTTACTGGTGTCATCGTAGCACACGCTTCTCGTTTGTCATAACTTCCTGTTTCAGTATTTCCGTCTGCTTTGACCAAAGCTGTGTTTTCCTCTCAAATGCAAACACTATTAGTGTGTAAGCTGTTCACTCGCCATGAGGTTGTTTTTATTTATTTATTTATTTTCACTCCCTTCGACATCGGGGTGATGTGTTGCTTGGAGGTTGTGAGCCTACAGTATAAACCAAGTCCTATAGCCTTATGATGATATGTGTACCGTATCAATGCTTTGCACTACTGTGAAAATAAGCAGGGTCCATAGACTAGTCATGCATTGTTTACACAACAACACGTTCAACTCTGTGTTTGGTTTTCTCCCCTGTGTATTAAATCTGCATGTGATACATTCCTGAAATTCCCGCTGCATAAAGAGGGAGTTCACACTGTTCCATACTGTACTGTGACAGTGTGTCAGTGTGACAGTCGACATCACAGGCAAAGTGTGGCTTCAGGGTGGATGATAGACTCAGCTTCACATTGTTTTACAAACTGACGGTTGGTAGAAGGTACGGATTATTGTGATGCAGTGTTGCTGTCAAACATGTTAAGTTCACCATTAAAGCAGAGCTGACGAAAGTGTGATGTCTTGAAATTCCATCAAATCATGCTTAACTGCATTAATGGGTTGATATTGGCAGGGTCAGCTTGAAGTTTACTGTTTGGCCCAGGGGCACACAGGCATGTAGATCAGCAGAGGCTAAACCCGAATGCCCAGAGTTAAGGCTGAACGTTCTCTTAGTTCTACGGTTCTACAGACAAAGTCAAACGTGATCTTTTCTGCAGCAAGATTTTTTGACTCTGAGCCTTTGTACCAGTAAACCATGACTGGGACCAGTTATAACTATAGAAACCAGTAGAGAAATACTTCCTTGCCGTTGGAGTATTTGGAGGAAATCTCTAGCAAACTGCAGACTTCCATCTTAATTCCACAACAAACACAACCAGAGAACAGACCTCAATATCATCCAATCAAATTACACCAATGGTTTGTCTTTATCTTTAAAAACTGCTGTGCACTGGACACTGGTAAAAGCTGCAACAAATTCAGATCCATATCAGCTCCATGCATAAGATAAGAAAGTCAAAAGTACATTTTTAATTCATCTCCACCTCTGCTGATAAAGTCAGGGGGCGGGGGCTGCAGCAGGGGCCGTCTCCACACAGTTGCTGTGGCAGATGGAGTCCAAACCTGCTCTGGATGCCAACGAACGTGGCCACGGCCAACCTTAAGCCTGCGATGTGGTCAGGGTTGGGCGCCGGCAGGCTGATCCGAGACTTCAGGGTGGGCCGAGAGCCAGTCGCCTCAGTGTGGTGTGGAGTGGAGGAAAAGGAGGAGAAGAAAAAAGAAGCGGCGGACAAAGCCAGGAGAAGAGTGCAGCAGAAGAAAAGACAGACCCAGTGCAGAAAGATGGTGAAGAAGAAAGGTCAAAGGTTAAACAAAAAATACTGTTTAACCAACGACAGAAGACAGATGTGTGGTAATGTAGATGTTTGATCAGTTTTCTAGGGTAGACATAGGTTTTTAATTAATAATAATACACTGAATAAACACACTAATAGGTAATAAAAGGCAAACATGACAACATTTCTCCTTCCAGGCAGAACTGGTTGTGATTCACTGCAGACGCCTCACAAACGGAGAAGAAAAAACACAAATGAAGTTGTTCCAGACCGCAATGAAGTTTTACAGGATCTGCAGCTGATTTTAGTTTCACTGAGAGAGTGAACAGCAGCTGGGTGAAAAAGAAACGAGTCAACCAGCTGATAAAGCCTCTGCTCAGTAAATGGTCATTAGTCGTTTAGAGAAATTAGACTAGTTTGATTGGGAAAATTATTACTGAGAGCAAATGATTCTGGGGAGAAAAATACGATTTCAGATTTCAGTGAAAAGAATACAAAATAAAGTCATGAGAGAAAGAAACAAGTTAAGTCATAAGTTTAGATAATATGTTTTGGGGACCGCAGAAAAGCACAAAGAGTATTAACTATAGATAATAACTAAATTCTCATTAACTTACTCATGTTTTAGGACTTCTACTGTTGATGCAGGAAAAGTTTTTAGAAGAAAGAATTTAAATTTATTTTTTTTATTTTATTACAGGTGATTTGACTTTTCCTTTTCACCACTGCCTCCATTTAAAAAAAAACACTGTCTTCTCCTCTCACTCTTACATACAGAAGCACATCACTGTGGGAGGTCTGAACAACACACAGCGCCACCTGTAGCCAGGTCCTGGTCATGTCTGCTCAGGTCAACAGAGAGGCCATTGGTCGCCAGGAAAAAAGAGCTTTAGTTGAATGTGTTTGATTCTAAATACTGCACATATTTAAGATGCTTTGTAGGGAGCAGCCGTCAGCCATCGACTCAGCTCCAACACCTCGTCCTGACTCAGCGGCTGGAGGAGTGCTGTTAACGTCCTTTGTTCGTGCTCTGAAGATCCTGAACATTCACACACACACTACACCACGTCCACTGTACGTAAGTACAAGTCAATTCAGCATCAGCCGATCCATACTACCAGCAAAGCCATTATTTAATCTCTACTTTTCTCTTCCTCCACTCTCTCTCCCACTTTTCTTAGGGCCATTTTAAAGAGGTCAGACAATGGACAGTAATGAGACCAACACACACTGGGCCACGTGCTGCATGGAGAGTGACTGGCTGACGGAGTGAGTGAGTGAGTGAGTGAATGAGTGAGTGAGTGAGTGAGTAAGGGGAGTGACTGCAGAGCCCCCACTCCAGCCACTTCAGCCCTGAATGTGCTCAATCATCCATGGCTTGGTCATTACCATCAACGGCCCTCTTGACAATTTACTCTGACTTCTTGGTTTTTGTGACGGCCAAACGAGCTATTCAGCCAGACTGATCAACTCAGCATCAGGTAGACCCCAGTGGAGGCTAACCACCTGCCCTGAGGAGCAACAGAGAGGAGAGGAAACGAGAGGAAAGGAGAGGAAACAAGAGGAGAGGAGAGGAAACAAGAGGAGAGGAGAGGAGCCTTTATAATAACAAATAAAGATGATGTCCAGGTAAAAGAACAGACAAAGTTAAAATACAATGAAACCAGATTCACATGCATCAAAGTTTAAATGCTTGAAGGTTTATCAACAAACATTACTCCACAACTGTCCTAATAAAAAAACAATCCTGAAGGTAGCTTAAACTCACAGAGAGAAACATTTAAGATGATTATGAATGTGATGAAAATGAGCTGAAATGAAGTAGGTGATTACCCTAACAGTATTTCTCAGACCTCACAGCACTCAAGATTCCCAACAAGTCCCCTATAACTTTGTCAAATAATGAGCTGATGTCGCTGCAGATCAACAACCAACATTAAGTTCTCCACGCAGCACAGCAATGTCTGGCTAAATGAAGCTTCAGAAACTGAGCGTGTAATTCAATTTCCTGCGCCCACTGTAAAACATTCATTTGCCTGAATGCTGCAGACCGATGATAAATTAATGTGAAATGACGATGATAAATGTGTAAAAAGACAAATCATGAGGCCGGGGTTCTGCTGCGAGTCTGTGCGACGTTGCTGCCAGTCTTGTGGTGAGGAGCCGGAGTAAAAATGGAGAAGCGGAGGCTGCATTTATGATTTTTCCATGTTGTGCTGTGCCTTTGCATCAAAACGGGATCATTGCTGACACATCACAGAAGATTGGAGAAAAAAAAAAAAAAAGAGCCTTTCATGCAAATGTTGTAAAGCTATACTAACTTGAGCAGAGAGTTGATTTCTTATGACTGTTGTTTTTTAATGTTCAAACCCATATGAAGATTCAGACAGAAAACAAAACTGTCAAGTCATCACTGCGGCTGAGCTAAAGTATCTACAGACAGGGCTGTATGCATGTCTGCAGTGTGAACATGTACCAAGTATGCATGAGCGTGTTTGTGCAGGAGTGTGTGCTTCTGTGCATTAATGCGTATGTGCATGCACAATGTATTAGGATTGGAAAGCTTCCCCACTGGCCGGCTTGGCAAGCATGTGAGGCGCTTCCCTGCAGCAACGCTCCAAAACCCCAATCCCCAATCACAGAGCAGCGCTCTAATTAGCAGCTACCGCCATGGAGCCTGCGGTCAGAGGCTGCCTGGCTCTCAAACTCTGGGCTCTGCTACTGTTACTGGAGGCGTGTGGAAGTCTGAGCCTTAGGAGGAGGAGGAGGAGGCAGACCTACTTGCTCACTTTCTTAAAAAAAAAGAAAAAGATTTTGATTCATAAACGTCAAGGTTCTGCATAGTGTACCAGGAACTGGAGCTGACTTTTCTGATTCATTATGTTTTTTGGAGACATTTACAAACGTTGTGGGAAAATAAAGTTGACACAACTGGACTTCAGACTTTAAAAAGGTTTAGTGCTTCTACCATACATTATGTAATGAACAGGAAACAGCAGTGAAGCTTATCTTTTTTATTTTCTGAACTGAAAGTAAATTGATTGTGAAAAGCAGGGCAAATCACATCCCGCATCAGCACTGCAGGGGGAGACAAATTACAGAGAACGCTTACTTTACTAGGTTAACACACCACCATACACTGGTGGTGTGTTAATCTACTGACTTTCATAAGATCATGTTCATCAGTCAAAACATCTTTTTATTTTTAGCATTTTGTTCTTGCTGTATTTTGACAGATGATCCGTTAAAGTGGACCAAATCAGTCCAGGGCACCAAAACGTTCGGGAGCTGGGACCAGACGGCCAAGGACAGAGGCAGAGAGAGAGAGAGAGAGAGGAAATGAGAGGAGTTCAAACTGGCTCTGTTTGCCCTCAGCTCTGAGGACACGCCACAATATTAACCATCAGTACCAGTCGACATAAGCATCACGTGACAGTAGAAGGAACAGTTCCATAGGTGGCGCTGTTGTGAAAAAAAGAGTGCTGGCTTATGAAGATGCCTCTTCGTCTTTGGCTGTAAACAACCCTATATCATCAGAGCCTATTACGTTTCCTGCTGCACCTCAGACCTGCTGACCCGTGGCCACCTTCTAGATACAGTGACTGTAATCGACAGGAGGCGTTTAATAAGCAGGGCAGGGTCTCCCTGTTTTAGACCAGCTTCATTTAACTGCTGGGATTATCCCTGGGTTCCTTCACACACACACACACACACACACACACACCAGAGAACTGGCAGATACCTGTGCTATCTCTGTCCCCCTGTATCCTCTGGCACTCCTCATCTGTCTGTCCCCTCTGCCCAGAGACTGAGGCCTGAGCTGCTGCTGAAAGCTGTGAGATGGTATCATGGCTGCACAGAGAAGCAGCATCACAGGGACTGAGACTGGAGGCAGAGACGCAGCTGAGTGACAGGTAATATTTGGTCTTAACTTCAGGCAAATGCATGTTTAAAAAAAAAAAAGAAGAAAGAAATCTCATATGATTAAGATTCATGTGCTCACAATCAGCTTCAGACCAATGATGAAAGGTGGCGCTAGAGTGTCAGCCACTCTACCAACTGGCTAGCTCTACCAGCAGAGGCTGAGCGTCAGGATAATTACCCTCACAAAGGCAGCTCTGTGCCTGGGTGCAGCCCCTCCGGAGCCAGCCCGTCTGGGGCTTGCAGGCTGGAGC